GGGGAGGGCGCGCGCAGCGCGCCGTGCTAAACGCATTTGCAACTTACACATAAACCAAACTTTTTTTGTTAACAACTTTTTAACGAGCAACGAACGACGGCTAAAACCTTCTGAGGGTCACTCAGGAGGGTGACCTTGACCTTGACCTTGAAGGTCAAGGTCGTAGGAGCTGGGTCCCCTATTCGGCACTTTTACCCCAAATTTTCATAGTCGCAGCATCTTTTCAGAAAATTTAATCGCCGTGGAATTGCGAAAACCCGAAGTGAAATTCAACAAGCCAATCTACGTGGGTATGTGCATCCTCGACATATCCAAGATCTGCTTGTATGAATTTCACCATGAATACATGCTGCCCCTGTACAGTGACAAGTGTAGAATCATGTATACTGTGTCACGCTCTTTTTGCTCCTCCCTGGGCGCGACGAAGAAAGAGGCGGCTTGCGCGAACAATACGCGCCCGTCTCCGTTCCGGGCAAATCTCCGGAACAGGCACGCGGAATACTGAGTTGGGCGCCAGACGCGCTCGCGGGCAGCGTCACATTCTTGTCGCGAAACACACAAACTCCCCGGATCGCAACGGCGCCGATCCGCTCGGTTATCGCCGCTAGTTAGCCTCCTCGACGCGAAAAGGACCGGTTGCTCGTTACCGTCGGCAGAGTGGCTGGGTCCCGTAATCACGGGCACGCGGGAACGAGACGGCGGGACGGGGCGCGACACACACACACGCACAGACGAACACACTAAAATAATCGCGACTCGGGTTAATAAAGTATAATAGACGGTTTAAGGTCGGATACAGAAAAGAAAAGAAAAGCGGCCTCCGCCGAGGCGAATTCGCGATCCGTCGATCCCCGACCTCCCCGCTAGGACTACTCGCGAGCGCGACACGTAACCCTCGACCGACACCCGGTGTGCCGGCTCGCCACAAGGCGGAAGTCGCCGCGAAAGAACTCCCGGACGCGAACGAAAGCGCTCCCGCTCGAATAACGATGTTCGGGGCGCTCGCTCGGCGCTCCCCTCCGAGGTCGCACTAGCCGATATCCGCCCGCGACAATCCCGATAAGCCCGCGGCCGATCCCTGGGAGCTCCCGCTCTTGGCACCGTTGTTCCGCTCGCAACACGAAATGGCCGGCTCCGACTCCCCCTTGGAGCGGACGCCCGACGGCCCGAAACACTAAAGGGCCTTTGCACGTAAAAAAGCGTTAACCGTAACCGTAATTTTAGTCCGTAATCGTAGTTTTCAACACGTACAGACAGATAGAGCAACCCAAGTGAAATTCCAAAGGTTACGGACTAAAATTACGTAGGGTCCGTAGGTTATGGACTAAAATTACGGTTACGGTTAATGCTTTTTTACGTGCAAAGGCCTTAAGTTGAACGCGGCGCGATGCCAGAGCGCAAGCTAACCCCCTCGGAAGCACGCGGCTTTTACAGTAACATTTCCCTCGAGGGCCACCTCACCGGTACTCTCCCTGGATCCCACGGCGCGGTCCTGGTCGGCACTCGTCTCCTCGATCCCTCGCTCTCGGCTCGCCCCGGAACGTGACCGGCACTCGGATCACAGGCTCGGTACGCGCTTGGATAATCGATCCGATACGGGCGAGGATCCGCGAACGAAAGCGGAAGTTCCTGCGCGAGCGGGTCGATCACCCGATCGCTCGTTACGACCGCGAAAAGGGGCTGCGCAAGGTAGCGGCGCCGCGGATCCGCCAATCAATGGGCCACTCGCCCGGCGTGTCGCCGGGCCCGCAGGGGCGTTATCGCTGTCTGCGCGCTTCCGGGTGCGTAATTCGCCCCGCGCGGCTCGCAAGGCCGGGGCGGTCGATCCTGGGCCCGCTCTCCGGCGCGTTGGCCCTCCGGTCCCGCCGGTCCTCAGGGCCTCCGGGGAACCTCCGCCCGTGCTCGCCCCTTGGTTCGCAGTCCTGCTGGCGCCTCGTCTCTCGCCCCTCGGGCGCGGCTCTGCGTGCTCGGGCCCACAGGTCTCAGGGCGGCTCGGCTTTTCGGCGTTCACCGCCTGTCGGCTCCTCTCGCCCTTGCCCCTCGACTCGCCCTCTCCTTGGTTTGGCCCCCTTGGCTTCCCCGCGGCCGCTGGCGTCCTCGCGCTCTCGCCCCTCGGCTCTCTCTCCTCTCGATCCCGCCTCTCGGTTCCGCCGTCGGTTGGTCCCCTCGATGGTCCGGTCGGCTCGGCAGCGCTCGATGGGCGCTATACAAAACTATAAAGTTTCGGGTAAGCGGACAAGCAAAAAAAAACGTGTAAGTGCGACCCCGGGAGGTTTCCCTACGGCCTCGCGCGGATCCTCTTTTCCTCGGGCGGACCGACACCTCGCCTTGGGACGGCAGCGGGGAGCTGGCCCGCGGCAGCTAATCCGCCACGTCACAACTGATACCGACAGTCTTATATACCACGGCAAGTGCGAGGATGTATATGAGACTGTGAAACGCGATATACACAGATTCGACACGAGCGATTATCCGGTTGACAACGCGTATGGCATACCGCGTGTAAACAAGAAAGTGCCCGGTCTAATGAAGGACGAAAACAATGGCGCGATCATGATGGAATTCGTGGAACTCAGAGTGAAAATGTATGCGTTGTGAGTCGATGGTAAGAAGGATACGAAGAAGGCGAAAGGTGTCAAAAGTAATGTAGTAGCGCGAACAATATCTTTTGATGATTACACACATTGTTTGCGAGACGAGATCGAGATGACGCGTCAGCAGTCGTGTATTCGAACTAAACTGCATCAAGTGTACACTATATCCGAGACGAAAATCGCTCTGAGTCCATACGACGACAAACGATACGTCATGCCTGACTCGACCAACACGTTACCATGGGGACATTACCAGATACCTTTATAATATATTCACAGTATTATTGTACATTATAGAATAGTAATTATTACAAGTATATGTTTATTCACATGTAAAATAAATGACACAACTGTATATATATATGCCTTTAATATATTCTTATACATGTTTAATAGAATAAATACATTCTTTAAAAGTTAAAGCATATTGTTCTTGTCTGTCCACGAATTATGCGATCCAGCGAATCCCAACCATTTCACATAAACCTTGTCACCCTTCCTGCGCAGCACTTTTTCTACGAGATACACATCCGGATAAGTCGCGCGATGCAGCTCGTACTCGTAGAATGCTCCAGCGACGGGTTCTCCACGGTAATCCTCGAGTAGATACGTTACGGGATTGGTGCGCTGTACTGTAACGATTTTAAACACCTCCGTGGTCCAATTTGGTGTATAACCCTTCTCAAACACCGTCTTGTATCTGCTAACGCGTACCGCGTCACCCACTTTGAACTTTGCCGGACCAGCGATTTTTACGTGGCTGTACACAGTTTTCAGAAGCCTGTTAGCAACCGCAGGGGTAACGTCGACGGGTCGCATGCCGATGGTCCTGTGCTTGCATGCGTTGTACTCTGCAATGAGTCGTGGTAATAAATCTATCCACTTGTAACTTCCATTGAGTGTAAACATCTTCCACATGGTGTTCTTCAATGTGCGATTGAACCGCTCGATGACCGATGCTTTCAATACGGAATAGGTAGAATAGAGATTGATGTTGCGTTTCTTCAAAAGTCGTTGCACGT